CAAAACCAAAAAAATGGCATGCGAACTTGGCATAAATCAATAGAAAATTTATACGTTTCGCCGAAGTGAACAGTTTTAGCGTGTCTGCTGCGCGACAGTCGGACCGGAGGTCTAGGATTTCGCGTGTTCTACCAGCTTTAGTTCTCCTTTTTTGACTTCTGCCTTTTATACATGACATTTGAAATGCTATTCTCTTTGTCAGGCAAAAATTTCCCGCTGAGCCAAAGTCGGCTAAATCACTGGATAAGCACATTGATGTTGTCAACAGCCAGGATTCTCAGCAGTATGCAAATCCGGACTTTATTGATTACACGTTTAACGGTTCAAATTAAGGGTTTCAGGACTTAAGTTGGTTTCCATAAATATAGAAGAGAATTGCGATAAATAAATTCGATTTTCCTAAATCTAAGCTTTCTTTTCTTAATTCATGTCTCCTAGATATGATTTGGTTAAGAATTACCTTATAAATTAGTTGACTTGAAACGAAACATTCTAAACTAGGAACATTTTAATGTATTCATCTATATTCTGATACAAATTAAAAAAAAGTAAAAAATATAATATTTTATACATTTTTTAAAGAACTAAAATTTAACTGAAAACCAATTTATCCGCGGAAGGTCAATGATCCGGGCACAATATTAGCAATATAATTGAACAAATTGTATGTACTTTCTAAGGGCTCTACGCAAATAGCAAATCCTTTAAGGCCGAATTGTATCTAGCTAAGGCAATTAATCATCCATTGATTTCCCCGTAGGCTCCAAACGTGGAGTAACTTGGCTCTTCTAATGGCCCAAAGGAGACCTGGGGAGCGAGGGCGAGGTGAAGTCAGGCATTACATTGTCAAGACGAATCGAGACACCTCGCCATTAGACGGCTTAGCTAATTATTAACTGCATTAGATTCTGACAAATGACAAATTGCGTTGCCACATCCAGCTCCTTGTTTGCCCTGCCGCACACATTCCATACATGAGTGTGTATTATCGCTGTTGCCGCTAAGTATTTTTGACACAAAATTAGTTACACGAGTGGGTGGGGAGAAACACGCCCAGCACATAAACACTCGTGCGCCGAAATATTCGGCATAAGCTCCGAAAAATTTCCAACACTTTGGGCCCGGTCATTTATCATTAAAAATAACCACACTGCGAAAAAGGCGAAATGCGTAATTATCGGGCTGCGGCCATGCCAGGCGAATGATTGAATGTGTTTCATCAAATATGTAACATGAATTATAATTTTTACATATTTGCGGTCCCCCTCAATCCGCTTTCTTCATATGCCATCGGTGGGGAAGTGAAAATGGAAATCCATCGCGTGCCTCAAGGAAATCCAACATTTTCCAGCGCCTGGCGAACGACAGCAAAATGAGCTATAGAGAGCACGTCAGAAGTGCCGATTTGTGGTCTGACTTCGAACCGCACAGTGTTAGCCGTACCATTCATTTCGCAACAAAAATATTATTCTTCAAGAGCGGAAGTGGGAATATAGAAATGCATCCACTGTTTAGGTCAAGAAAAAAAATTCAATAAAATTATCTACTTTAAATATTGTATCTTTATTTTTAATTATCTTCTTTAACAGGAAATAATATTACTGCAATAATCCATTCTACGCCATTCAGACTTCCGTTTATTTTTGAAGCATAGGTGAAAGAATATAAATTCAAATTCTTTACACACATTTAAAGTGTGTATTAACCTAATAACTTAACTAACCTATTAACTTATTAATTAAAAGTATTTTGTGAATCTTCGTGATGTTTACCCAAGTTGTTATCTAATAAGCCAGTCAGTACTTGTGTATTCCAACCTTTATTATTGCATAATTCTCAAAATTAAAAACAAAAAAGCATTTATCTATCGTTCCATTCCATTGACTCACAAATTATTTAATTAAACTTGAGATACATGTTCCCCCCTTTTTGAAAAACCGTTAATCGGAGGAGCTCCGAACCTGTGTGCCTGCTATCTGCATACATTGTGTGATATGGGGAGATCTAAAGTAGGTACACTTGTGACGAACTGGGGCATAACGCACTCAACACGGCATAAATTAAAATTTTTATGTCCAACGCGTTCGCTCTTCCTTGCTTTCCTTCTAGGATCAGGATGAGTGTGTTTTGGGCTCCGGCAATTCACAGGTCACGTTGCGGATTGTGGATTGCGGATTGCGTGTGGCAAGTGAAGGAAACACGCACGAGACAGAGCAGAAATACGCCAAATACATACGATTTTTAGTGGTCCGGCGCGCGAGTCACGTTATAATTTGCCGGCCAAAAATCCTACAATTCCAGGCAGCATTTGCTAATCAAAACAAATGAAAACAACATGAATTATGGCCGGCTGGGGCGAAAGGCTAATAGGGTTAAAGCCGCAGAGTTCAGCAAATGAAATAACCCGAAAAGCGTCCCACACATGTGGCTCATTTTTAATGAAATTGTTCGAATGTGGTTTTCCGTTTCCAGTTTTCCGTTTTCGGCCCCTTGGAAATGGTCTTCGGCTCCGTGTGACACACGTAATTTGAATATATGGCACTAGGTTTCGGTTCCGGCCACAGGTCAATGTGGATTTGGATGTGGGGAGTGCGGTTGGACGCCAACTACTAATATTCCGGGACACTGTGTCCCTTTGACGCTTTCCAGCCCGGCCGTTTGATAAATAATGAAGTCATATGTCTAAAGTTGAATTTTATACTATCACGCAATTGCCGGGGTTCGCTCTCAGCCCCAACCCCGAACCTAAAATCCAAGTCTAGGACCTCGGCGTACATTGTAAGCGACGCCCACATTTTCGCAACTTTTTATGTAATCGTAAAAATATTTTTATGATTTCATAATTTTACAGTGTTGGCGGGGCCAAGAAGAACGCTCGTTGTTTATGGCCATAGCCACATTGCCCTGCGTCGTTGTCTCTGCACTTGGAAAAAATAGTCTATGGTTTTTGTTAAGGCTTCAAAGGACCATTTAAAAATTAATTTTTAAGGCGCATACAAAAAGTGTTCTAGACATAGTTAAAGCTTTCGCACTAGTTTAAACATTAAGGCCTGCGTATAAAAATACTATACATTCTGCTGCCAGTTTGTTTTCCAGTGCGAATTCTGCAAATTTGTGGCATTTTTATTTCGCCTCCTCCCTGGATTAATTTTTGTAATTTTCCACTGGCGCATCCGCAGCATTCCGTACAAAACGGTGCTTTAAGATCATGCCTGGCCAATCTTAGCCTTGACTCATATCGCAGCATTTATTCGCAATTTTATGCAAAACCATATTTCCCAGCTGTAAAAGTTGCCAGTGCCGTTCGCTGCTGTTGGCCGGGCTGAAATGGAATCACGGCGGGTGGCCGAGCTGTCTGCTCCCATTTCCACACACACGAGCCACATATAGTACACACACTGGGGGAATAGAGCTCTATCTGTATCTGTATTTGTTTAAGGCTCGGCTACCTTGCAACAAGGACAACACACAGCTCACAGCTCACAGCTTGAAAAATGTTTGTTGTCAACATTTTCAGTTTGCATCGTTAGCTTAAAAGCGTGCGCCACCGAGCGCCTCGCACAATGGGGCGAAAATCGATAAACGAGACAAACCGTGTGATTTGGCCCCCTCCGGGCCACAAAGGACTTCCATTTTGATCACAAAATAGAAAAGTGTGGAGGTTACAAGGCCATCCGTCCGTCGGTGGGTGTGGCTCAAGCGCCGTGAAAGCGTTCGCCTCAAAACAGAAATTAATTATTCCGATGAATTTGATTTGGTGGGAGAGGAGGACGAGGACAAGCACCTCAGCAAAAAAAAAAAAAAAGACTGCAAACTCTAACAAAAGTTTATGAATATTTGTGCTAATGGCTTGGCCGAAGATTGAACTTTTCGCCCACAGCTGCTGCAAATAAATAAATTAAAATATGTGTCCAACAGGTATCCGAAAACACAAAGCCTCAGAGCATTTCCTTGGGCCTGTCACAACAACTGGATTTATCCGCTTCTATAAATATTCTCCTCGACGCTGCCAAAGTTATGGCAAACTCTTGCAATTAAACTGTCAGACTTATGAATTCATTAAATATTTTAATTGTAGCTTTTGAATAATTAAAATTCCATTTATATGGCCGTACACATACCTCAAGCCATAAATCTGCGATTAATTAAAAGCCCCTTCCTCGACTCCACCGCTACCCGTTGCCCGTTGTTTTGAGGTATCCAGGGCGCAAACGTAATGGCAATTAAACTTAATTACAAAAACATAACCAAACTCAATTGGAAATGGCTTCGACTGCTTTGGATCTCCAGTTGATTGAACTGTCTGGTCCGACAGCGATTTGCAATTTATGCAAATCACGGCGCTCGAGGTGAGCGAGAATAAAAGAAGTAGCTAGTCGCTGGCTGGATTGTTTTGCCTAACTTAGCGTTCGACTCGAATTTAAATTCGTATCGGCACAGGGAAAAAAAAGTATGTTGTTTTACTTAAAAAAATTTTAGACAAAACTAGTTTTAGTTTTTTGAACTTTTACAGTTTTTCTGGATATTTCTGTTAAAAGCAAGGCGTGCACTTTAATTCATTTCATCGTCTGATATACAGATTTATTTTTCATTGCCCCTAATCCTTACACCCAAAAATCAATCGATATGAAAAAATGCTTAACTTGTTATTATGTGGTATCAATATTGACTTCTTGCTCGCACTTACGAAATAAAAGTCGCCATATTGCTTCTGGCTTTGTTTTTCAAAGTCAGAGAACTTAAAAAAAAAAAAGAGAAATCGGCAAAACTGATATTAATTAATGCCAATTTTACCAGTATTGCATGGTAAAAACGATATGTGAATAAATAGTAGTCTCTGATCTTTAATAACACTTTTTAAAAAAGTAAAAACACCAATCAAATTATAAGATGCTTCAATAGTTGATGATACGTCTGAAAAAGGGTTTGCATACCTAAAAGTTTCCGCGCAAAAAATGTATTTCTTTGAAGGATTTTTCAGTGCATTCAAATTCACTCACCTGGATCATCGTCGTCGTCCCAATCGATTTGACCGGAAGTCATGCTGATGTGTGCCGCGAACAGGAAGAGCGTGAATAAAGCCAGGCAGCTTCGCCTGATGTTGGCTTTGTAGGAAGTTGTTACGGGCATTGTGGAAGTCCTTCTCGCTGGCAAATCCATTGTGTAAAGTGTAACAATTTATATGCAGGCTCGTCTCGTATTTCAGACTGTTTACTCGCCTCGCTTCTGATGTTGTTTTCAATTTAATTTTCTCGAAAAAGTGCAGCCACTCTTTTACTCACACGCGAACACTTTTACCGGAGTTTGCGGCTCCTTCGGCGAAATATTCCCTAAATTTTCGGCGTGGTGCTAGCTTCCACGTCCACTTCTACTTCCACTTTCTCGACCTGGGCTGAGCTGGGTTGCTGGTCTGATTCGGAATTCAGGGAGTGCGCGGCTTTTTGCTCTCGACTCCTACAACTACTAATTAAGTTGTTTCATTTTCAGTTTTTGCCCAGGGCATAACTTTTGCGCTGCTGTTGCTGCTGTTTCTGCTGATGTTGCTGCCGTTGATGTTGCTGCCGCCGCGTGGCACTGAGGTGTGCGATGCTCTCCAATTGTTGCATTGTTTTTCCGATTTCAATTTTCTGCAAAAGGTGGAGGGGATGGAAAAATAGAGAGGTGTACAGAATTATAATTTTAGTTTTGCCGGGGGAAATACGAAATCCGTTTTAAGTGGATTAATAAATTAGCTAATTGCATGTTTGCTAATGAGATAATGTTGCCGTTGTAGATTATAGTTTTTCGCAATTAATAGAGACAATGTATCATTTGCTTAGTTTTCGGTTAACTCAACCCTTGTGCCTTATAATTACTTTGCCAAAGCTTATTAGATATTTTTTTAACTGATGCTTTCTTAGATCATTATAGCTTATAACGAAAAAGGATATTTATAAAAAAATACTTCGGCATAGTTTTTAGAAGAAAGTTGTTTGCCCTGTGCTAGTTTTCACTTCCGAAAGATTCACACGGATTCGAATTTCCCAGACCTGTTCCAAGACTCACTTCCAAAAGAACTGCACGAAATCGAATTTCCCTCTCTTGTTACTCTGTTAACTTCCGAAAAATTCACACGGAATCTTTTCGCAAAGCATATGAGTATAAAAATTAATTATTTAAATAAACTTCGCGATAGCTTTATAAGTTAATAATATTTTTATGCTATTCCTTGATGTTTTATGTTCCTAATTGCATCATCGGAATCGAAATTATTTGCATATATGACTTATTAATAATTATTTTGTGGTTGAACCTTAAAACCCGGTAAATTCTAGCCTTGACAATTAATGCAAATTCCGATCGGATAAAAATGGCCTAGAGTTGTCACGGTATGGATATAAGTAATTATTTCGTTGGGACTTATTCTAAACTTATCTGATAAGGTTAATGGTTCTTTTAAAAGAAAGATAATTTATCCTAATTAACGAAATAAGTGTTTTGGCTCGGAATACCACATTATTTCATGTGAAATTTGAACGGGGACATTTGATAGGGCCGGAACATTTGATAGGAACAGGCCGGAATATTTCCATTTCTATAAAAGTCATTAAAATTGTTTGACTTTGTATTCGTTAGACATCATTAAGAAAGAGCTGCCTAGATTTGTTCCAAGCTACAAACTCCTACTCTTTGACCTAGTTTTTAGCAAGTTGTATCCACGTAAAAACGGAAATTAGTTTCACTTTCGAAAGCTAACAAGCTGCGCAATGATGACGGGCTCATTGAACCCCGGTCTCTGTCGGCGGAGCACTTTTCACTTCTTTTGGCCCCCAAAAACGGTTGCCTACTTTTCGGGCCACTATCTGCAGTGCCTAATTTGGCATGGTTTGGGGCACATCCAAGTCCCCATCCCCATGCACAGCCCTCTGCCCGGCTTATTATGCGCACTTCAAACTTTAGACAACGCGGCAGCACCAGCACCAGAAGCAGCAGCAACAGCACATTGTTGTACATGTTGGCAAACATCTCACGCCACGGCTGCCTGCACATCCCAGCCGCCCAGGCCGAAAAACAAACCAAACACTCGGGGAAAAACCTTCCCTTCGAAACTAAAATATTGTTTAATTCGGAATTTTTAATTTTAAGATGTTATATGGCCGGTTTTCATTTTATTACTGTTTAAAATCTTCTAATTAATACTTTTATCGAATTTGGGTTATTAATTTGATTTGTACAAATATACAACACTTTCATTTAATTTTGTAAACATTTTCTAAACAATTTAATGTTTTGAAAGTTATAAACATTTTATCTGTATATATTCTATTTTGTTCCGTCCACTCATTGCTTACACCCGGAACAGACATAATCTTAGTTCTAAAATCGTATTATTTTCTAGAATTGTTGCTGATGCAATACGTTTGAACTTTGGGAGGAGCTTTGTTTATATGATATTTCATATCTTGTGATCTGGACGGATGTTTTTAACTTTACGAACCGGCTGCCAAAGGCAAAGAAAAACATGGTCCAAGTTCTATGACAAAGTGAGAGCTAAAAATGTTTTTTATAAAAGCCATAAGTGACTTGGATAGCTTGGATAAAGTAAATTTATTTTGTATTCATAGTAAAAATATGCTTAATAATTTAAATAATTCAAATAGTTTTTAAAATGTTTCTTAACAAAGATGGTGTTTATTGTGCTCCCAAAAATGTAGCTAGAAAGTTTGTTTAATCCGCGTATAAAATCTATCTAATCGAGATCTTTTTCCCGCAGTGTGTCCACTGCTCAGCCTTCAGCATTCCGCAGCTGGTGGGGCTTCTTTATTTTATGCAGGCAGCCACTCACTCAAATTTCGAGTGCAGCAGCGCCGCTGCAGCGAATTTTGTATACATTTCGTTTAATTTGGCCCGCTGCCGAGTGCCGTTCTCCTTGCCCCCTGCGCCGCACGCCTCTGGAAAAACTTTAGCGACACTGTTTTGGGAGGGGGAAATGTAATACAGAAAAAACAAAACACAGGCAGAAAATAAAAATCAAAAAAAAAGAGGGGGGTGCGGGCGAAAAACTGAAAAAGTTGTCTGCCGAAATCAACGCCACTTTCGCCACAAGCATTAAGCGTTGCATGCAAAATTACCAGCGAGTGGTTTGTATTTCCACTCTGATTGCTGTTTAACATGGTTACATTGTCCTTGGAACCGAAACAGAAACAGAAACTGAAACTGAATCAGAGTCCTGGAGCCGGGAAATCCTGAATTTCGTTCCGTTGTTTCACCCGTGCCCGCTTTTCTCGTTTTTGATGGTTGTTTCGGTAACGATGCATGTGCATCAACATCTATGGTGGCCGTGCATCATGACATGCTCTAGTTGCGAAACTTTTCTTCCTTTTACCCTGCCGAACCAAAGCATTTTTTTATCGCTTTATTTATATGCATATGGGACAAGTGGCACCCAAATGTATGGGTAGAAGAGGGCAAACACGAATCTGCTGTTGCACAAATCCAAACTTTTGCCCCTGGCCGGACAAACTAATTTGCGCTTAGACAGGAGGACCGAGCGGGCCAGAACAAAAGTTTGCGCCTAAACACTCACTTGAGGTGAAACCGGTTTTTAGGAACTTATGCACGACAAGAGGCAAACGGCAAACATGTGCGGTTACTTCATCAACATTTCACGCTCGACTTGGCCGGCTTGGGTGGAAAATGGTAGAAAAACTGCCAAGGCACGCAGCAAAAATGTATGCAATGCCGGCTGCTGTTACCTGTTCCTTGCCCCAATTCCCCCTTTCCCCAGTTCCAACCTGCTCACAGTCTCACCTGGCCGGCAAAATAAACTCGACTCAACTGTTGAAAATCAACTAGCTGCTGCCCCCTATTCCTGCCCCACACGTGGCACAAAGTTTGCCTTCAGCCCGACGATTCTCGTTCTTTTTTTGCCTTTGCGGCTCCTCCTTTTGGCCGGTGCAAATACTTGCCAGCGTATGTGCTCTCCGGTCTGTATGCATTCATACGAGTATTTGTCCAGGCATGAGTTCATGTAAGCATTTATCGGTCAGGGCTCAGTTTCTGACCGAAATCCTTTTTAGTATCTCTCTATCGGGTAGTCGCAATTTGGGTCCGAGCTTGTACAAATTGGCATATATATTCCGCTAGCTTATAGTGCATTTTAATTTGCATTATGGTAAGTTAGCAATTACCTACTGAACATGTGACTTTTTCGAAAATTTAAAGAAACCAACAATTTAAAATAAACATTTAATTTATTGAAGTCAAAATATTAAAAAAAGAGTAGCTTTAATAGATTTAATATTATTCAAAGACTATGTTCTTATATATTTAAATTTGTTTTTAAGAATATCTGAATCATTCTTGATTTTGAAAGCACGGTACCCTTTACTTAGATCGAACAGCAATTCTTGACTTTAAACATCTAGTTATATGTATGCCACTACGATTATTTCGAGAGAATGTCCAGTTTTCAGTAAGAAATGGGTAATTTATTTTATGGTTGTGGTCCTCCTCGAAGCGTTTTCTTTGCACCGCGCTCACGACTTTTTCTGCGACCATGGACGTAGACTGCCATCGATTTGGCACGTTTTGTGGGTTTGGGAGCTCCGCAGTTGTCGTGCTCGGAGCTACCCAGATCCGTATCCCCGTTTCCGTGCGGCAGTTCGGACAACGAGTTAAAGTGTTTCGCCACGCACTTCAATAAAAACACCTCCACGTACACAGCCGGTAAGCAGCTAGTTTCGTGACGATACGCATACGCAATGTGGGCCATCGGCGGAATAAAGTGGCGCAGTCTGTTGGCAGCATATACTCGTACTGTGGGTGTATCCTCTGTCTGTCTGGCGGAAGTTTGGCTCTCCTCCCGGCTGCGCCATATGTTCAAGTGCTTAATAACTAAATGCCAAGTGGCTGATAGCCGAGTCCAATAAAATATTCGGGCAATCGGGTGGCCTGGTGCCCCTGCCGCGCAGATTTTCGCATTAGTCACACCCTGGTGGCTTGCGGTGGTCTCAATTTAATACAAATGGCATCTATTCAAAGATAATTAAAAACCGATAGCAATGCCAACCCCGCCTCCAGGCGCCTTAAGTAATAAGCTTCTCTAAGCCATTTAATCTGCGTCCCACGCTGGAAAGTTGGGCATTATACGTGAAGGGTTTACTCCATCCGCAAGCTATTAAAATTCAATGGATTTAATTTGTTTTTTATTTTTTTACAGAAAATAAAAGGAGTATACTTTCGAGTTACTGTTATAATTTTGTTATATTTAAATTACGAACTCAAGATTATGTTGGTCAGTAGCGGTGTTTTTAGGTAAGTTTCTTAACAGATTGAAATAGTTTACAGTTTTTTATTGTTTAAATGTAAAGAAATTTTTATATTTTTAAGCACAAATATTTTCATATGAAGACAAATATATTTCTGTTTATAAAATTTAAATTTAATCAACATAATTAAATGAATGGTTTATTTTTTTTATTACGTTTATTAAATACTTCGACAGGCCAAAACTTAAAAAATCGTAAAAATGCTTTAGAGCAATTATATCATTTCAAAGGACCAATTCAGCTGTAAAAGCTTTTTACAGAACACGCTTCCTAATTAGATAACAACATTAGCAGCTTTTAAATTTCACGGCAATATA